GGGGGGGGGGGGGGGGGGGGCAGGGTAGAGAGGGTGGAGAGATAAGGGGGGCTTCGCCAGAAGAGAGAGAGAGAGAGAGATTGAGAGGGAGAGAGAGAGAGAGAGAGAGAGAGGGGGAGAGAGAGTCACAAGTCCGAAGGTGTAATAATGCTTGATGCTGCTGCCGCTACTACTTTTTGATCAAGTTTTTCGAAGCCAACAAATGTACCGCTCGCAACCCCCCCCCTTCACACACGCCCCGCAAGACCCCCCCCCGCTGGGATCCCACGAAAAACTCACGAACAAACGAAAACGCCTTGTCGTCAACGGTGAAAACGCAGTCGACCTGGAAGGGACTCAAGACGTGGCCATTGTGGGCACGATCCCTCCGGGTCTCCCTGCTCCCAAGTTCCCTAGGCTGGACAAGCTCACCACCTTCGCCCAGGTGGAGGACATGGCGGGCGTGGCCCTGGTGGCAGCGCTGGTTTCCTTCATCATCACGCACTCCATCGCGAAGAGCCTTGCGGGGGCACAAGAGGTGGGTGTGACGAGGGGGGATTGGTGTGGGTTTCGGCCTATCTCTCTGGAAGTTTTACTTCGAAAGGGGTTTGGATTTTCTGAGTTTGAGAGGACGAAGCAGCGAAGACTCTGTCTGTCGAGGACGACTTATTCCTTCTTTTTTCTTTTCTTACCCCATTCGGAGTACAGAATCAAGGAAACGCTTTGGAGAATATCTCGGAGAAGCGAACAAAGACACCAAGAAGACAAACAAGAATAGCCTGCCACGCTATTGTTAAGCTCCTCTAGAGTCCCAACCAAATATTGTACAACCTTTGAAAAACCGATCCGAGAACTCACAGTTGTTGTGCACTCTGGCCCCCTCAGATCAAGGCGACGCCGCAGCTGCTCGCCTTTGGAGTTGCCAATCTCGCCGGGTCCATCTTCTCCGCCCTGCCTGGTTCGGCGTCTCTCAGTCGAGGTGCGACTTTACGGTCGAAAAAAAAGTCTGCAAAGGAAAAGAGGTGGCTTGCCACGATCTTGGCACCCTCCCTAGGCCGTGCAAGCACTTGTTGTATGTCTCGAGTTGGTTCACTCGGTTTTCGGATAAAAATACGAAAAGTCCACCGATAGATGAGTACCCCCAACAGCTCCCCCCCCCCCCCCCCCCCCCCCCCCCCCCCCCCCCCCCCCCCCCCCCCCCCCCCNTGTTTGCCATCGGGGTTGGGTTTTCGTCGCTTGGCAACGACGTTGTAAAGCAAGCCCCCCCATCGGTGTTTGCCATCGGGGTTGGGTTTTCGTCGCTTGGCAACGACGTTGTAAAACAAGCCAATTCACTTCGTGAACTCGGCAACCAGGTTACCGTTTTTTTCCTTACCTCTGCTTTTTTTTTGGCGGTATAACCATAATGGTGGTCGAGTAGATCATTTTGTGCGGGGTGGATAAGCCTCACTCCGTGCAAGGGGGATGATCGCACCATGTTGTGTTAAAATGGTCAAGCACCCTCGAGGCAGTTACACGGTGCTTACAACTGTCTCTGGAAGTGAAAGCACCAGAAATGAAATTAAGTCATACGCAGCTATCATCCGTACGCAGGGAAGTAAGCACAAGATGCCGAACACCCTTAGCAGGATGNTTATTTCCTCTCTCTGCCCTTGCACCTGGTGAAAAATCCTTCAGCGGCCATCATCGACGCGCTCGGCGCCCGCACCATCATCCACAACGTCTTCACCTTCGTCCTCATGACGCTGGTGCTGTTGTTCCTCAGCCCGCTTCTGAAGGTGCCCCCCCGCTGTTTTTTGCATACCCGCTCAAGAGTTTTGTTTTGATGCTTATAGGGTGCCTTGTGATGTGTTGGGCGTGCCTTTACGTTGGAGCAATTTCCACCAAGCAGGGAAAAAATCAGCGGCACCAATGTTGACCAATACAAATTACTTAGTCGCGATGCCCGTATCGAGTGTCGGAAAGGCAGCTTCCTTTGAGCCCAAGCAATACCCAAGTACAAATTCCCCCCCCCGAGATGAAACGTTGTTTCCTAACATGGCAACACATACGTTTCGCCGTGTCGAGAGAGCGCTATTGGCGTTCATCGCCTAGGCCATGTGATTATCATCTCATCACCCCGCCAGGGATGTGAGGTCAATGGTCTAACGACTACGGCATGAGTACCCCCCCCCCCCCCCCCCCCCCCCCCCCCCCCCCCCCCCCCCCCCCCCNCGGTCTATCCAGTTCCTCCCCACTTCGGTGCTGGCGGCGACAATCTACGCCGTGATCTACAAGTTTTTCCACTTCGACGAGCCTTTCAAGCTGTACCGCGTGGGAGTCTCGGACACCGTCATGTGGCTGGCCACTTTCGCCGCCACCATGCTGCTGAGCGTGAGGGACGGGATAGTCGTGGGCATGGCCGTCAGCGCCTTCACGCTGATCCAAAGGTGTGTGGAGGAGGGCCTTCGCGCCCGGGAAAAAGGGGCTTGCGTTGCATCCCGGTGGACTCGGCGAGCTCATTCTGTGCTCTCGCTTGCCTGCTTGCTGGTGTATTTTCCTATTTTCGTGTGGTACGAGCTCACCTGTCCCGCGTGCGGGTGTGCTGGTTTTATCAGCCCACGGTCTCGGCAGTCCCGCACTTCGTGCGGCACCTCGGTCGAAGGTCCGTGTTGTCGCCGCACCCGTCCTCGTTAAAGTTTTGGCCTCGTTGACATTCAGCTCGGTTCGGAATCGTCCGCGTACATTTGTTCCTCATGTATTTCGTCGTTGGTCCTCCGTTGTTGTTGCTGCTGTTGTTGGTGTTGGTATTGGTTCTACAGAACCACCTCGAGATTGCGCACCGGTCGCTCGCTTACCATCGCTGGTTGTGTTGGTTGATTTGTTTGACAACCCAGGTCATCCTCTCCTTTGGTGATGCACATGGGCCTCCTTCCGGGAACCACTCTCTACCGGGACATGAAGACCTACCCTGGTGAGTGAGGGGGGAGGGAGAGCCGTCTTGTATCTTCTCTTCTCGTGTCTTTGACCCTCGTGTGTAGGTCGCGTAATGTTGTCATGCGCACATCTCACACACACCTTGTCGTCCCGGGCACCTTTTTTTGGTTTTCATCGCGTGCTGCCTTGGACGGGTGTTACAAGTACTCTCGTCGCCCTTCGCGCAGACGATGATACATATTGATGGGAAGAGCCGGGAGTTGTGCGTGTTGCACCTCTCCCGCCGTGTAATGTTGAAACTTGATGTTTGTTTCCCATCCTACCGCACTCGGAAACCAAAGCCATTTGACGTTCTCCTGTACTTGGAGAGCTACGCTTTGTTTCTGATCGAAATGTTCGCTTTTTCTCTCTCGATTTAGCTCGCAACCTAGGCCCTTCCTGTCAAGTAAGCAACCCATTTGTTGCTCTCCGGGCCTATCCAACATACGAGCCGAGTGCTGTTCCTGCGTTGCCAACATGTTTCCCACCGATTGGCACGCCCTATTCGGAGGTCGTGATGCCGCCTGTATCTCTTTCTCCGTCCTGTTATTCCTACCTGCTTCTCCTCGCCCTCGACAACAACATTTCACAGCCCCCCTGGTTATGTGCTCCGTCCTCTCGAGGACGCGTGGTCAATGGTCTAACGGCACGCAATACATAAGAGCACGCTCCCCCCCCCCC